GATCGGTGATCGGATAACACGCTCTCCCCCGTGCATCCGCAGGACGTAACGTGTTTTCACACGCGACCAGCCACTCCATCACGACGAGATTCAAAACTCGAGCCCAAACACTTTGCAGAAAGTGGCCAATTATAAACAACCAAGCGTGATCTCGTTCCCCGAGGGGAAAAAATCAGAGAAAGATTGACATCCGAACGACGAAACAATCAAACATCTCCGAGCAGTGACAATGAGTTATGATTTAGATCACAGGTGGCTAACTGGCGTCTCGCTAGCGCTATCCCCTCCACTACACTTGCAGTCGATTGCAAAGTCGAGTTTTACTTTCTTCTCTGTTCCACTGTTTTTTTATGTTTTTCTTTCATTTTGCGTTTAATTTATTTTCTTTTTATTTCACTTTTACTTCATGTAATTTTCGTTGTTTTATTTTTGTATTTATTTCTATTTCTCCTTTTTTATTTTCATTTTATATTGTTTCTATTTTTTTTTATTATTAATTTGAATCGTAAGTATTTTTCTTGTCATCCATTTGCGAATTGCAAATTCACAGAGAGCGGGGCTCGTCAGCGATCAGAAAAATAGGGGCAAGGGTCGCTTCTCTGTTCCACTGTTTCTTTATGTTTTTCTTTCATTTTGCGTTTAATTTATTTTCTTTTTATTTCACTTTTACTTCATGTAATTTTCGTTGTTTTATTTTTGTATTTATTTCTATCTCTCCTTTTTATTTTCATTTTATCTCCGAACAGTGACAATGAGTCATGATTTAGATCACAGGTGGCTAACTGGCGTCTCGCTAGCGATATCCCCTCCACCGCACCGATCCCCTCCACTACATTGCAGTCGATTGCAAAGTCGAGCCCTGGTACTTGCGCCAGAGGCCGACTTTTTCTATTTCTATTTCCTAATTTTATTCTCGTTCGTCTGCCCTTTTACTTTCTTCTCTGTTCCTATGTTTTTCTTTCATTTTGCGTTTAATTTATTTTCTTTTTATTTCACTTTTACTTCATGTAATTTTCGTTGTTTTATTTTTATATTTATTTCTATTTCTCCTTTTTATTTTCATTTTATATTGTTGTTTCTACTTTTTTTTTTTTGAAAAGTAGGGGCAAGGGTCGCCAGTTCGCCTACTCTGGTACAAAAAACTATTCGAATACCTGTACCGAGGAAATGACGGTACGTCAGTCTCTCAGTCATTCTGTCTCTTCGTCTGCGTTTCCGAATTTAGCTACCTGGCGACAGCTAGGGATTTCCCACAATATTTAAGAAAATATGCGAAAACGAGACGACAACATTTGAAGAAGAGATTGCGTTATTATCTCGAAGAATTGCAGAGAATTTGTCAATGGTAATTTCTCTGTCAAAGTCAAGACTGTATTATCGGTTTAGTCATAAAAGGGATGAATCATAAAAGGGTTTAGGCTAAGAAAAGAGCCTAAGTCTTGTCCATTACGTTGTGACAAAATTACCTCAGGTAAAGAGGATAAACGAGGAAAACAATTCTGAGGTAGAATAGAGCCTTGCTTTTCGACGATTGAAATAATGCTCTTTGCAGTCCCTTAGGGATTAGCCTTTATTCATCTATTCTAATATAGAACAATGCGTTTGAGGCTAATCTTCATTTTAGTTCTCGGAACATAATAAGCATCAAGGCGATAATTTCATGTCACTCCTTTGACCATTCGCCAGCAATTAAAAAGCAATGAACCTGGGAAAATTAGTCCGAATAATTTTTCCTTTTTTTTTAAATTTAAAATGTATAATTTTGTTGTTTCGCACAATTGCTACCTTGGAATGTTATCAACTTCGAAGAACTGTATCTGTATAAATTTCCATTGACCTTCGGAACGCGAAAACCCTCGAACCTTGATGTTAGTTTTATCAATTTTATTCGGAAGATTCCTTGAAGGAATTAGTCATGATACCCTAAATTACTCTCAAGTCAAGGAGAGGGTAGAAATGCGAAAAAGGTATATAAGCGTAGCGAATAGAGCATCGGCGTTCAATTTTTTGCAAGTTCGAATTTGTGCAAGCCTTGCCTCGCTTGCAAACAAAGTGCAACTGCGTGACGAGGTAAAATTACACAGTGTTACTTTCAATTCGCATCGTAACGTAATATCTGAGCGGATTGTCAGTCAAAGCTTGGTGAAAAATTTGAAAACGGCCGAAGAAGCGAGAATCTCGAAGAAGTACACAAAGTGCCCAGTGCGAATAATACTCGCATTAATTCTGCAAACATTTTCCAATAAGAAATGGCAGGCTTTGTTAACGACACAAAGAAGCTGGAACTGAAGGATTTCCTCCAACAGCAAAAAGAACAGCACAACAAAATGAACGTTGAATTTAGCTGGCCAGACTTGTGCAAACATATACCGAAGTGCGTTTTGTACCGTGCCAATCAAATCCGTCAGATCGCTGTCAAAGGGCTTGGACAATGTTCGCACAAAGTGGTCGATCAATTTTTGATGTTCGCTTTGGAAGTATTGGTCAGCGAGGACGCACTGACGAATGAAAAATTTACAATGTTGAAGGACAGGGCGGTGAACTTAACGTTCGAGGACGCTGAAACTATGTTGCAGGTAATTATAATAATTCGAGAGAAATTTAATGAAAATGTCCCGACAGACAATGATGGCGAAATCGCTGGTGATATTGAGACGGCAGGTAATCTGTTCGGCTTGAAATTATGGTGTAGACCTGCAGTTGCGTTGACTAGTCAAGCATTTCAGATTCTGCATTTAAAAAACACTGGTCAAAGTGTCGATGATTCTTCGTCGACACGCAGAAGGGAAGAAGAAATGAAACCAGTTATGGTTAAAGCTACATTTGACCCAGCAACGTACGAGGAGAAGTTGACCGAGTACTATGAAAAACATTCTCCAGTAATTTCTCGACAAGCATTTAAGGATACTATAATTGATATAATACAAAGTGACAATTCCGAAAGCGACTTATTTGATTTCCTCGGTTGTGAAGCCATCGAGTTGGCAGAGTACATCATTGAAAATCGTGAATATATTATAGCTTCAGATCCCGATTTAACGTCCGCGGTAACGCAAAAGAAATGTAGCGTTGTGATCGAGGAACTGTTAACTTTACTGTCCAAAGAAGACAAAGAATTGTGGACGAATATGGAAAAACTAGGGAAAAAATTGGCGAGGCATCAGACGAACGAGAGAAGAAAATAATGAAAAACGTTGAATTAGCAGAATTTCGCTTGAAACGGAGATACGTATGCAAAGATCATGCTTAAAGAAGATAGAAATGCACGAGAATTCCTGTATTTTTGTATTCTTCGACTCTGGTGCATCTACAAAGGGACAAGCATATCACGTTAGTGAAAATCTATTATAATTGTCAGAATTAATAATTATACTATAATCGATGAGAATTTATTAATTTCTGCTTCAACGGGCGCTAGATTTGTAAGACTAATGTCATTATGTTAAATATAGTTAATCAATAAGCTGTGTTGTGCAAGGAATGGTGATCTTGTTCGAAGAGAAATTTTGTAAAATTGCATAAACTAATTTTTTAATTACACCCTTAGAATGGAACAACGTTTCGGATTCGAGTTTCGAGAATTTAAATGTTAGCTTCGAACCAATTTTTAATGAAAACCCATCCGACCTGGATGTTTTTGAAAAATCTTCAAACATTATTTTTAAATTGCTTTTCAAAGTTATTCTAGAAATAATCTATTTGCGAAGTAACGAAATTATATACAAATTGAATTAATTCATTTCCAATTAGATCGTTTAT